CTTTCCCTCAGCTCTAGCAATAAGAAAATCAATGTGATTTACTTGCATTACCGACAGTTATGTACTTGAACTGAGTGCAGCATGCATTTAACCGGCTAGATGCAAGGGAGAGCACCCAGTGGAGCGGAAACAGCTTAGCTCTGTTTCTGCTTGGTAACTGAAACTCTGTCCCACAAAATAGGAAATAACTCCTGCTCTCTCTAGCCCTCTGACCCGTCTTGGTTCTCCAAAGATGTCATAATGAGTCTGGGGTTAACCACTCTGCTGATGCTTCTTCTCTAGACTCCCTGGAGCTGCCTCTTGGCATGACAGAAGTACCAAGGGAAAAATGGGAGAGAACTATTGTCCTCCAAGTCAGCTCCAAGTCAGCAGACACTGCTGGGAGAAAGCAGTTAGGGCTGTGGCAGTACCACTGTCCCCACTGAGCCCAGTATTGTCATGACAGAAGACCCCAAGCCCTGTGAGGAGCGGCCAGTCTTCAAAGCCTCAGCTGTCTCCCTCTCCAGTGACACGGTACATGACAGGGATGTGCACGGTCACAGGGTTCCCATCACACCCCCTCAAGCATTCTCCCTCTGCTCAGTCTGTTGTTCTGGACAAAGGATTAAGAATTAAAACTGTATAATATGCGTGTTCCAAATAAGAACAGCCTCAAAGAAAAAAAGAAGCTGTAAACCAGCCAAAACCAGTCTAAGCTGCTTTCAAACCTGTATAGAAACACTGGATGGTTGCAACCAAAATCTGCCCTGCAGCAAATTGTTTCTGGTAACAAGAACAATATAAAAGAACAGGCCAAAGAGGCGCAAGGTGGGGGTAACTCTGCTGCGTACACAGTGAGCAAGACTTCCAAGGCACTGAGAACTCCTGACACCCTGGTTCTGAGGATGCTCCTGGGCTGACCATCAGCTAACTTGGATTTTGTGCGGTTTGCGACTAATGTTAGTGTTAATGCGATGCGCAGCTTATAGTCTTGCTTTTACCCACCCTGCAATGATCCTCCATAATGTTCCAAGTTTGCCAGCTAAGTCTCCATTATCTGAAAAACTCTAACAACATCGTGTTACAAGGTGCATCCACCCAGAGCAGGAGTCTACAAATCCTGCTCAGAGATCAGACCACCTCTGCTTCCAGGTGCATCTGTGCATAGAAAAAACGTCCTTCCTACACCTCCCCCAAGCATGACAATTCTTTAAGCCTGCACCCATACTTTATTGCTTGCCCCCTCCTTATTCACGGTGAATCTCCTTGTACGCAAGGAGATGTTCCATGTATCTTTATCCTGGTTCTTCATGTATCTGGGGACTTTTGCTGGGAGAGGCACCTTGGGCAACGAGGCACAACAGTTCCCACCAAGTGTCCACCAGCTTCTGCAAAGGACACCAGTTTGCTGCAGGGGCTTCTGTGGCCGAGAGGCTGCAGGGAAAGACAAGTAACGGAGTAGATCCTGTGGTCCCTGCTAGGACCAAACCAGCTCTCCTTTTCTCTTTGTATGGCCCGACCTGCCCAATGAACACCATCCAGTCACTTTTCTCCGGCAGTCCCCTGAAAACAGCAGTTAGCACATGAGCCTAACAGCGGGATGCCAGCCTCGCCCACAGGGGAGCAGTGTCGCCTTCAGGCCAAACCCAACCAGAAACGCATTTAACATCCGAGACTACCAGGAACTCCTGCTCCCTCAACGCTTTGCCTTTATTCCCCACAAGCAGAGGCTTTTCAGACGCCCCTCTGCTCTGCCTTGTTCCAGGACAGGGGGGCATTTTGTAGGCTCTCCCCAGAAGAGCGTGGGGGAAGAGTGGCCGCAGTGACCATGTTCACGGGGCTTCTCTTCTGTCCCGGCGTATTTCCAGCACCGGCCATACCGGCGTAGC